TGCCAGGTGAGGCCTGATGGGTGTATTGTGTGATATTTATCTTAGTGATTCTTGCATATTTTTATGTTTGTATAAATGTCGAGCAGGTCCCGATGCTAGGCAGGCCTGACGAATGTGATGGGCGGGGCCCATCTCATGTTACTAATAGATCTGTTCCGAGCGGGGTTCGATGCTGGGTGGGGTCCGATGGTCGTTGTCCATGTCCCATTGTATGATTAATAATTATGGTATGAGGTATTTTGGGGAACTCACTAGGCTTTGTGATTACGGTTTTTACTTTATGTTTTAGGTACTTTAGGGTAGAAAGGGAAGAGTTAAGGATGATCGCATCGCACACGCCATATTTGTTTCAGATTTTGTTGAGTTAATGTATTTGGATGATTATTGACATACTCTGATTTCATTATGGTTTTATGAAAACGTTTTGGATGATGATTTATTATATTATTAAAATGAAAATTTTGATCTTAAATTTTTGACATTCCAAGTTGGTATCATAACCTTGGTTTGAGGGATTCATGCATATTCTCGGGTGTGTCTGAACTCAAACTGCGGAGTTGGTAGATTTTTCATAAAAAGGAAATGTTTTATCAAAAGTGTTATTCTAATAAAAGAATGGGGTGTGGTGCATACATGTTAAAAAATGCATTTCTTAATCCAAACGTGGTCTTCTCATCAATGACGTTATACGTGACATTCTTCGCGAGTGATAATCTGAAAATGCCAAGGGCCTGTTAGTCCAGCAAGTTCCATTTTGCCAGATCCATCTTCTCAGGTTTCTGTTCAGATAACGATAAGTGTAATTTCGTCTGATATAAGTAATCCTCAATTTTCATCTTCTCATAGCCTTCAAATTTATCGATCTTCACATTTTCCGTCTTCAACCATAGCTCTGATACCAATTTTTAAGTAAAGAACAACGATAAACAAAAACATAGGGATTTAAGTGGTTCACACTATCTTACGATATGCTACGTCTACTATAGAGAGAGAGAGAAAGAGAGAGAGAGAGAGAGAGAGAGAGAGAGAGAGAGAGAATGAGATTTTATTCCACACATGCTTTTTCTGCTATAATGTTACAAATACAACCGTTCATAAGTATACAAACGACAAAATTTGACCTAAACATTTAAAGGGCCAAGCCCGACTGGAAAAACAAAACTAAGCCCCATAAAACTTGGCCCACAAAAAATTCTAGTCTTTAAAATTCTAGATCTGATGATAAGTCTCCATATCTAACATAGAACACAACATCCTGGATGCGGTTTAGGTGCAGTGGTTCGCCGCTCATGGTAATATATATTACCAATTTACAACTCTATAAATACCCACCTATTTTAAGTTTTTCTCTTTTTCGATCATTTTTACAATAAAAATGAATCCAAACTACCCTACACCAAATTACGGTCAAAGAGTATCTCGTGTTTCTAGTTCAACCATACCAATTAGAAACATTTTTGCTTTCGGTCTGTCAATTCCGGTTTATCGTCCCAAACTTGATGTCCTTATTTAGCCCCCTCTACAATTTTAATGTCAAAATGTTCAACATTGCTAGCTCATGCAATGACCAAATATTAATTACCCCTAACATGATCAACGACTTTTTAACTTCCCTCCTTCAACTTTCATCAACCTAACCCCATCTTATGCCACAAAGTCAAACCCCATCCTACGACCCTCCAACCCAAACCCATGTTGAATGATGACGTCGTTCAGGAAACTCAACCCTCTCACCCGAAGACATCTTGGCGGACCAACCCACTTCAGATGGTTTTGAGAATGAATGAGAAGATCATGAAAAACATTTCCACTAGATTTAATATTATAGTTGGTTTGAGGTTTTTTTAATTCGTGGTTTTGTTTTATTCCAATTATGTATTTTTCTCTTTTGAAGTAATGAATAATTATGAATTTTATTAATTTTGTGTTTACTAACTATTTTTTATCTAATTTAATTTATTAATTAACATTGATTTTGTAAATTAGAATAATTTTATTGTGGAAAAAATGAAATGAAATGAAAAGATGGTAATTTCTTATGTTTTGAAGATGAAATGAAAAGTTGGTAATTTCTTAGGGTTTGGAGAATGAAGACAAAATGATAAGATGTTAAGTGTAACCATGCCATCTACTCTGAGTGGTTATAAAGAAAAAAATGTTTTGTTTTAAGAAGGGTTAATGTTATAAAAACTTTCAAGTTTTTAAAGTTTTGTCGGTTTGTTTTTTCCAGAAAATGTTTTGTTTTACTATTTTACCGGTGATAACAGGTTTTTCAGATTACCATTATATTAACTTCGAAAAAAAACCCCTTAAGTTTATAGTCCTTTTTTTGTGTGTGTTTTTAACCTTATGTTTAGATTTTCTTTACACTTTTATCCTAAATATTTTTTTCATAATATACATATTTATGCAAAAAAAAAAAAAATCATGTTTATATACGAAATCAATGTTTAATTAAATATTGTATTTACATTTTTTTGATGATATATATATATATATATATATATATATATATATATATATATATATATATGTGTGTGTGTGTGTGTGTGTCTTTTTGCAAGGTTATACCATTTAAAAAGTAAAAGAAATATATTTTTAGACTTATGAATACGTATTTTATAGATATAGTTTTTAGAAATATAAATACATAATTTTATAGTTTAGAAATATTAATATGTATCTATACATCTAAAAATATATTTATACTTTTAAGAAAAAATATACAAACACATATTTACACTTCTAAAAATGTGTGCATATACTTATAAGAACGTAAAAACAAATATTTGTACTTCTAAAATACATATTAATATTTCTAAAAAACAAATATATATATATATATATATATATATATATATTTGTAGTTCTAAAAACAAATTAATTTGTATTTTTTTTTTTTTACATTCTAAACGGTTTATCCACGAAAAAAAAAATCAATAAAGAAATAATCATGGTTTTCAAAATTGCGATCCTGATCGTAGGATCTTACGATCCTAGGTATGAAAAACGAGTCAGATTGTATTTGGGGTATGATCGTAGGTAAGATCGGAAGATCGTAAGTAGGATCATAGGATCGAGATCCGATCCGATCTTACGTTCCATTGATTTTATTTATTTATTTATTTATTTTTTTTTTTTGCAGATGAATTTTTCTTACCACTTTATGCCTTTACCCTTTTTTAATACACCGTTTATCATTTCGTGTCGTGACTTATGACTAATATTTTGTGGGATTGAATGTTTGAAATATTTTTCATGTTTTAAAATTATAAATTAAAATTATCTTTTATTTTGTGGGATTTTAGGATCCCGATCTCAACCTTTTAAACCCAAAAACGATTAGAGATAGGATCTCGATCTTAACAACTTGAAAATAACATTAAAAAAAATATAGATACAATATTTAATTAAAAAAATTTCGTATATAAGTACGATTTTTTTGCATAAATACGTATAATTAGGGTAAAAATATATAAAAAAAAATTATAAACTTAAGGATAAATACGTAAAAAAAAAAAAAAAAAAAAAAAAAAAAAAAAAAAAAATGTAAACTTAAGGGTTTTTTTTTTTTTTTTTTTTTGCAAAGTTAATATCATGGTAACATGGAAAACCTATTATCACCAGTAAAAGGGTAAAATCAAACATTTTTTGAAAAATATGATTGTAAAAACGGACATAAAATTCAACTTTGGACAAAACCGACAAAACGTTAAAAACATAAGGGTTTTTATGACATTAACATTTTAACAACCTACGATAAAAATAAATAAATAAATAAATAAAATAAAAAATCTTGATGAAAGCGGAAACAAGAACATAGATGGTACGAGTATTTCAACATTTTCCTTGAATTTTATGTTTTAGTTATTTGGTGAGTCTTGTAATCCAATAAAAATAAATTGAAATCGATTTCTTTTATTTGAGATAGATACAAAATAGCCATATTGGGAAAGAGATTTCAACAAAAGATATAACAATTTTTATGAATTTTTTTTTCCACAAATTACTGTTAATTTCGCATAAGCCAGTAAGCCTGTTGTGAAATTAATAATTGCTACAACTTTTTGTTAGGTTCCCACCAAAAGTATTTTAGAAAGTAAAAACTTTGTTATGCTCCCACCAAAAGAATATTAAAAAACTAAGTTTTTGTTTTGTATCTACTGCGGAATTTTTTCTTTTCTATGCCATGAAATTGTTCTGTATTAATGCAAAAGCGTTCATATTATGGCGAAAATAATATTCTTTATAAATTGATTTTGATTTTTTTATGGGGATTTAAAAAAAATTCATTTTCACAACAACAAAAACAAATGGTGCAAAAATAAAGTGTTAGGCTGAAAAATATTTTCTAAAAAGACGTTTGATATAAAAATGAGAAAAAGTCTAAAATATGCCTTAAACAGTTAAACATAAGACCAATTTCATAGCCTATAGTGATTTTGCATGGCCATTGTGACGCTGTTGGTAATTTTATGAAAATTGAAAAACTTTATGCTATTTTGTGAAAAGTTTTATAAAAAATGGCTATATTTGTTTTTTTTTTTATACTTATTTTCCTAGTTGGCACTTATCAACTAAATCTTAGTAGTTTAATAGTAATCGGTTAATTGACCTTTATATCTTTCAAATAAGGAGTTTAAGCTTATCTCAAATATCTAATATTCAAATTTATAAATTTAAAATCATGAGATTAAGCTTATCTCAAATATCAAATATTCAAATTTATAAATTTTAAATTAGGAGATTATCTCAAAGATTATAAATTTCAAATTAGGCGATTATCTCAAAGATTAAATATTCAAATTTATGAATTTAATAACCATTTTAGTTTAAAAGCGAAACCACTTTAGATTTTACATAGATGTATTTACCATTTTACCATCCGAACAAAAGTGGGAGAACATACATACAAATACCAAAGACAAGAGTCAGAAAGCGTACAAAGAGTGTATGTAGTTCATCACATATATATAATATATATCTATGTATATCTATGCATGTGGGGTTACATGTATGTGTGTGTGAGGTTATAGATATCCCCTCGACTCACCCTTCCATCTCTTCACACACAGAGAGAGAGAGACAGTCTCTCTATCTCTCTCTAAGCTCTTCGTTCTGGGTTTCTTTTACAGGATCCGTGTCTCGTGTGGGTTTCATAAATCTCGGAATAAATTAACAGGTAATACGTCAGATTTCATCAACTCCTATGTTCTTCAGTCCTTCGTTATTTCAATGATTGAATCTTTCTTCAGAAAAATGAATCTTTTTCGCACCCAAATGGGTTTTCTGTGTGATTCCGTGTTGCAGATCTGATTTGGGGAGATTGGTTCTGGCCATTCTCGTCTTTAATTGCTTCGATTCTTGTGACCTTTCTGAAAATAGTATGAATCGTTCTTTATGAAGCGAAAGAAAATTTTGGAGTGGGTTTTCTTTGGAATTATTCGCCAATTCATCTTTACTCATCAAGTGTTCACAAGAACCAAAAAAAGCTATTGATTGGGTGTTTGTTATAGCGATAAAAGAATCTTTGTTAACTTTTCGTTGGTTTACTGTAAAAAAAAGTAAAAGAAAAAAAAACACGTAGTATTCATTCTCTCTTTCTCAGTCACTAGGCATAATCATAGGCCCCCCAAACAAAAATCATGAAATTGGACCAAAATTTCGGATGACTTTTTTTAATTAAAGTGAATCCGACATGGAAAGGGGCCAATTAGCGTTGTCGGCAACAACGTATGGTCGCCACCGGATCTTGACAAACTTTCTTGTTTTTCCACTTCTTGTGCCATCAGATCTGCACTAACTTCCGCCTCTGTTTTTTACCCTTACTTTGACTTTGATTTCTGTTCTTTACCTTCTATTAGTATTTAGTACACGAATCATCTAGATCTGTTTCTGAACCGGGTTTGTCTCAAGACTTTTTTTTGAGTAATTCGTTCCAGTTAAGTTCATTTTTTTTTTTTTTCTATTACTTGTTTAGTACGATTTACAACTTGATTATTGTACAGATTTTAGGAATAAATTTGTGGTGAAAAAAAAAAAAGAAAAAGAAATGAAGTATAAAGATGATAAACCAGGAAGACAACAACCTGAAAAAAGTTCAAGAGTGGTATCCATAGCAATATCGTTTGTGGTTCTATGTGGGCTTTCATTTTATCTTGGTGGGATCTTTTGTTCCGAAAAGAACAAAATTTCTAGTTTGCAAATTGGTAAAGAAGTCGAATCCATTGATCAAACTGTTTCTACTCCGATTCAAGTGAAATCAGTTTCATTCCCCGAATGCAGTCCTGAATTACAGGATTATACCCCCTGCACCGATCCTAAGGTATCTTACATTTTTCAATCCTTTTTTTTTTTTCTTTGGTACATTAAGACTGATATTGATTATGATTGTTTTGTTTGATTAACAGAGATGGATGAAATATGGGCGACACAGGCTGACGTTCATGGAACGTCATTGTCCGCCAGTATTTGATAGGAAAGAATGCTTGATTCCACCACCAGACGGATACAAGGAGCCGATTAGATGGCCAAAGAGCAAGGATGAATGTTGGTACAGGTAAATTTTTGTAACTTTCTTTTATTTACTTTTTTTTGTCAAATTATGATAAAAATATGGGTTTTTTTTTTTTCTTAATTTTTTAAAAATGTTTTAGGAATGTCCCGTATGACTGGATCAACAAGCAGAAGTCGAACCAGCATTGGTTAAGGAAAGAAGGGGAGAAATTCTACTTTCCGGGTGGTGGTACTATGTTTCCCAATGGTGTTAGTGCGTACGTTGATTTGATGCAAGATCTAATTCCGGGGATGAAAGATGGAACTGTTCGTACAGCCATTGATACCGGATGTGGGGTTAGTTAGTTTTTCAATTTGGAAATATGGATTCGAGGATTCTAACCATGGTTAAGTTTTTGTGTTTGTAAAAGCTTAAATCTTGGAATAAATGGTTTCCAGGTGGCTAGCTGGGGAGGTGATTTGCTTGATCGTGGCATTTTAACGGTGTCTCTTGCTCCGAGAGATAACCATGAAGCTCAAGTTCAGTTCGCGTTAGAACGTGGGATTCCGGCGATTCTTGGAATTATATCAACGCAACGTCTCCCATTCCCATCAAATTCATTCGACATGGCTCATTGCTCAAGATGCCTCATCCCATGGGCAGAATTCGGTATTTTTGTTACTCCTTTTAACATATTTTGAATCAGAATCTTTACCCTGACTGATAATCCTGATGTAAACGGTTGATTTTCAGGTGGGATTTACCTTCTTGAAGTACATAGGATCTTGCGTCCGGGAGGATTTTGGGTGCTCTCGGGCCCACCCATTAACTACAAGCGTCGATGGAGAGGTTGGAACACGACGATTGAAGATCAAAAGTCCGATTACGACAAGTTGGAAGAACTTCTGACTTCGATGTGCTTTAAATTGTACAACAAAAAAGACGATATTGCTGTTTGGCAGAAAACCACCAATAACGATTGCTACAAACAGCTCGATGCTCCCGATAACTATCCACCAAAATGCGACGACGGGACTGAGCCCGATTCCGCCTGGTACACCCCGTTGAGGCCGTGTGTGGTGGTGCCGAACACTAATTTGAAGAAATTGGGGTTGGGATCGATCGCAAATTGGCCGGAACGATTGCACGAGGCTCCGGATCGGATCGGTGATGTTCGTGGTAGCAGCGCCGGAGACTTCAATCGCGATGATAAGAAATGGAAGAATAGAGTGAAGCATTACAAATCGTTGCTTCCGGTTCTTGGAACTGATAAAATACGGAACGTGATGGACATGAACACGCGATATGGAGGTTTTGCTGCCAGTTTGATTGATGATCCGCTTTGGGTCATGAACGTAGTGTCGTCTTATGCTCCCAATACACTTCCGGTGGTTTACGATCGGGGGCTCATCGGAACTTTCCATGACTGGTAAGAACACGCATAATAATCATATACATGTTTTGATTGTTAATCATAATTTTTTTCTTACCAATTGAATTGATTTCCGTTAGGTGTGAGGCATTCTCGACGTATCCTCGAACATACGATCTTCTTCATGTAGACAGCCTATTTACATCCGAAAGCCATAGGTAAAACCCTAAACCTTGGAGTCGAACAAACATGGTGGTTGAGTTTTGGGAATCTAATAAAATTGACTAGTGGTTAAATTGAATAATTGCAGGTGTGAGATGAAATACGTGTTGTTGGAAATGGATCGGATCTTGAGGCCAAACGGGTACGCCATAATCAGGGAATCAAGCTATTTTGTAGAAGCCGTTGCTAAGATAGCAAAGGGGCTGAGATGGAGTTGTCGTGTAGAAGCCACCGAAGATGGTAATGAAAAAGAAAAAGTTTTGATATGTCAAAAGAAACTCTGGTACTCGCAGCAGAACTCATAGCAAAAATATCAGAAAATTGTGTCATTTTTTGTTTCAATATTATATTATATAAAATTTAAGTATTCAAGAAAAGGAAAGATTAGTTACCTCAATTAAAATCATATTACTATATTAGGTTAGATGTCTCATGTCTGTGTTGTAAAAGAAATATATTTTGATTTTTAATTATATACTTTTTCCGTGTTCTTTTCTTGGTTTTTATTTTAATTTTTTAAACCTGTTTATCGTGACTATTGTAAGACCAAATTCTTATCTTATTGTATGTAACATATTTGTGATTCTTCCCGATTTGTATTGCAAATAGTGTTTAAGTAAAATCGAATATATAACAATGAAAATAAAAAATTTATACTACATAATTTTTTAGTATAGAACAATTACATTAAGAGCACCAATAATCGAAATGTACATAAATTGGTGATTCTCTTGTCATTTCTATAGCAAATTCTCGTCATTTGTAAACAAATGAGAAATTGGTAATCAGTTGAAATAAAATGCAACTTTATGTTACCTTGAGTGAGTGAGATGCGGATTTAAAATCCGCGAGCCAATGCGTGCTTGCTTTATATGTTGGAGGCTTTGTGCATATATTCTATTCTATTCCACAAAGGAAGAAATAGAAAAAAAAAACACAACTCAAGTCAACAACATCTGGATGCATGGATTAAGTACTATAATCCAAAAAAGACAAATCCTAAAGCTCCAATGCGATTTGGTTTTGTTGATTTAAATCATCTGGTTGTAATAAGTCTTCTGGATCATAATCTTCAGCATATAGCTCCACGGATGACCCCCTTCTAAAGGCAGTCCTCTTTAGAAACCTTCTTTTGCTATTAAGTATGCCTTCATCGCCATTTAGCATCCTATAAACCTGCATCATATATATTCATATTTTGGTTTTAATTTGATAATTAAATTTTTTTTTTTTATTTTTTATTTTTTATACCTGGCTCATTTTAGGACGTTCGGTTGGGATATGATTAATGCATAGGGAAGCAATTGACACAATGCAATTTAACTGGTCCAAGTCGCAAGCACCAGAAAGTTGTGGGTCAAGAAGCTCTTGAAAGTTTTTTGAAGCGATTAATGGTTTAGCCTGCAAGTAATTTATTTAATATTTTAATTAAAACAAGTAAAATTGTTGTTTTGGTTATAATAAATGATATTTAGTAATTAGTAAGCGAATGAGAATCATGGAACATACCCACATAACGAGACTATGTTGTGACTCATCGACAGCAGGGCGTCCAGTGATAATCTCTAACAAAAGTACTCCAAAAGCATACACGTCGGTTTTCTCATCAATTAAACCATTCATGAAAATCTCGGGAGCAAGGTAACTGTAAAATATGGAAAAGGACGCATAAGTTAAGATGATGGAATGAGTGATTGATTTGGTAGCGGAATCAACCATGCCATTCCTTCCCTGATTCCATCATACCAAACACTAACTATAAAAGTACAAAAACCATCACATACCCGAATGTCCCTTCGAGTTGTGATACAGTGAGGTGCATCCATTGATCAGGTAGCCATTTTGCCAACCCAAAATCAGAAATCTACAATTCCATTAATAAGCAATCATTACAAAATTTAAATCTTCATAAGAACACAACTAATAAAAAGCAAAGTGTAAACCTGCTTACTTTATTTAATTACCTTAGGTTCGAAATCCTCTGAAAGCAAAATATTAGCTGCCTTAATATCCCTATGAATAATCCTCCGTTGACAACCCTCATGAAGATATGAAAGACCTGAAGCAGCTCCTATGGCTATATTAAATCTCACTCCCCATTCCAGTTGATTATTATGACCTGAAACAAATAAATAATATGAACATTTTTAACAATATAAAACACAAAACATAAAGTCTTTAATAATTAGCTAACCACTAAGAAGAGATGCTAAGCTTCCATGATGTGACAAAGGAAGAACAAGATGCATGCCCCCTTCAATCCCATAGCCAATGATATGAGCAATATTTGGATGATTGACATGAACAAGAATTCCCAATTCAGATAAAAAATCTGACGTCATGTCTTCAGGTGTACCCCTGGTTAGTCTTTTCACTGCTATAAGTTGCCCATCTTCTAAATGACCCTTGTAAACTTCTGAATACCCTCCTTCTCCGATTAAGTATTCTTCACAACATCATAGAAAGTGATTAATAAATAAACTAAATAACAAGAATAAGATTGAAAGGAAGAAAAGAAAAGGCTTTAATGGAAGCTACAAACCACGGCTAAAATTATTGGTTGCAGATTCAAGATCTTCAAGTGAGAAATTTTTCCATGATGCTTCAAAACAATGCAATTCAGCATCCATGTTAATTTGAGGTAGGTCTGGTATGCATTCACTCAATTTCCTGCTTTTTTTCCTTGTTAGTTTCTTAATGGAATGCAGGCTAGGATGGAATGAGGTTGACCCTTTTTTGATTTTTTTCAAGAATCCATGCCATTGATTGTCGGAATCGGAATCTAAATGGATGGCTTTGGAAGATGATGAAAAGAAAGAGTTGGAATTGGAATCCGGTAATGTAGTGCTGGCTTTGGCTGAAGGTGGGTCGGATTCGTTTCCATCATCATCATGATGATCTTCATCTTTATATAAAGACTCTAGTTCTATAAATACAATTCCATATAATTACTAGTCAAAAAATCATGTTATAAATACAGAACATTGTAGAGAAGAAGGGCTTTTTGTTTTGTTTACCTTCAGCGAAAGTGGGAAACGCAGAATCAGAGAAGATAATTCTCTTATTCCCAACTGCAAAGATAACCTTTTTCTTTGTTTCATTTTCAGCCATCTTTTTGTCACAATTTCTGAAGATTAAGATAGGCCAAAAAGAATATATTAGAATATCAACGTGAAATTGGAAAATGAAGAGAATATGTGAAAGCAGAAAGCTAACACGCCTTAACCTTTACTGTTCCCCTCGACATATAATTTCATAAGCCCCGAAAACATTCAAACCTAATCATACTATATTGCCCAATTGGCTACTGCAATCAAACCCTAGAATTTCTTTGCCGATGTCAATAGTGACGGAGGTTATGCACAATTCATCTTGACATAATAAATTAGCGATTGGAATAATGATAACGGAGATACCTTAAGGTATGTGAAGGTTCTGAACCAATGAACTCTTGCGCCACAGAGATTCAGAGATAGAATCATAATCCTCTCTCTGATGATAACGAACGAGCGACATAGAAAGAGAAAAAGAGAGAGAAGCGAGGAAAGAGCGGTTAGCATGGTTTTTGTATTGTCTACGTTTTTCCTTCTTTTATATTTCCCCCGATTTTCATGCAACAAAACGGGATTCCTCTGCTGGTGCAATAAAATATATTTTTAAAGGGAAAATGACTTACGAGCCCAACGAAGTTTTCAAACCGTTCAAAAAATCCCAACGAAGTTTTCAAACCGTTCAAAAAATCTCAATCATGTTTTGTCTGTTCAAAGAAAACTTAACATTTTTTCTAAAAACCCCAACTAAGTTACACTTTCCTGAAAGTCAAATAAGAGAAACATATGATGTGGCTTATTACCGTGTCGGAAAAATGACTTGTTAGACCAACGAAGTTTCCAAAACGTTTAAAAAACTCCAATCATGTTTTGACTATTCAAAAAAAACCTAACGAACTTAAACAAAACAAAATTAGGATGTTTTGAACGGTTTGGAACTTTGTTGGACTTTTTAGACAAAATGTTAAGTTCGTTGGGTTTTTTTGAACAGACAAAACATGATTGGGTTTTTTTAAATGGTTTAGAAACTTCGTTGGGCTTTTAAGTCATTTTCCCATTTCTAAAATAGCAACCTTCCTTATTGAATTTGGACATCTTTTAGCAACACAATTGTAGTTTGGAAAATGAAAATTTTGAAATGTCTAAAATTTTACATAAAAGGACAACTTTTAACAAAAGATAAATAAAATAATACATTTAAAAAAAAAAAGATAAATCCTCTATTCCAATAAAATAGTATCTATGATCCACGTGTCATTTGCTTGGCATCCCCCCATATACTTTTCCCGCGTATAGTTTCTATGTTAATTACCAATCATACCCTTTCTTTCAACTCCCAGTCTGGCCTATTCCTTGAGAGTCGCATATCATTAATAACTGATTTGAATGAAATTATGACGTAATCACTATAAATCGGAAAGCAAATCTTCTCCGACTTTGAATTCATTTCCCTACCGCTCCTCCTCTCTTATATTTCTCACACTCCGATGTTTATGTGGCATATTCCTTCTATTTTCCTCTTTTTCAATCCTAAATCCAGTTCCAAAAAACCCCTTCTCAGTACTTTCGAAGGATTCCCAATTAAACATTTCAGTTTAAGTTTGATTATGCTAAGATTGGCCCTACTTGGAGAAACAAGAGATATGACTAAGCAATTAGGTCCGATTGAAGAAGAGATGACAAATTGTTACTGTTCAGGGTCGATTGAAGAAGAGCGATAAGGAATCGTTACTGATTGTGGTTGGTGAGTCCGTTTTTGCGTTAATTTCATTTGAAGTCTTGTGAAACCTCGATCTTCTTAACCAACACCATGTAAGTACAATTCAACTAATGCTTGGTTGCAAGACACTATAAAAAATCGTGGATATGGGTGAACATGGTGGTAAACCTCGATCAACAGTGAGCCATTTATCTTTTTCTTTAATTCTCATTTTGGTTATATTATAAGATGTTGATTGTTGGATTATTCGGCTTCCTTCTATGTTGTAAAATATTGAATTTTCTCTATGACAGTCAATTACAAGACCACCCAATTGGAATTTCAAACAATTGACTTCTTGGCTTCAAATCGCCCAACATCCGACAATTTTTTTTTATTAATGTTCGTTTATTAGAGTTTTATCTTAATATGAAACTTCCAGGTCTCTGTTTGTTGGAGTTTTATCTTAATGTGAATGTTCCAATTTCTTGATTGTAAATTGTTATGATTTTTCTTTAATAGGTTTCTTTATAACAAATCAGAAATTAATCAAATGGTTCCTTTATTCAACCTCAACTCATGGTTTAGTGAGGAATCATTGAATCGATATCATGTCTTCCATCTCTTTTTGGTTTTGATTTTTAATGTATAAGATCGAATTACATCTTGGTATTATCATTGTTTTCATCAATGCACGCCAAGTTTTGGACAAAATGCCACATTGAATCAAGACAAAATTGCAAAAATGGTCACTGTGTTTGTCAAAAATATGTGCTTTTGGTCCAAAAACTTTTGGTGGTGTAACAATGGTCCAATTTTAGATACTTTTAGTGTTTTTGGTCCTTATCAGCTTGAAAAGACTATCATACCCTTATATTTATTTTTTTTATTTTTATATTTCATCAAATATTTTTAATTACTTAAAAATGAGAAAAGGCCCACCCACCATATTCCTTTTCCCTTCCTCCGCCTACAGCCTTCATACAAAAGACCCTTGAACATCATCGGCGTCGTCTGTAGAAGCCTTCCACCGCCGACGATCTCCCGGTTTTTGTTATACTCATTTTTGTTGCATTATCGCTACCAAAGAACATATCCGATTAATAACCCTTCATATTCAACTTCTTAAGAGTGCTCACAGCTGGAAATCACCAGATATCGGAGCGATGTTTGTTAGTACATGTCGTTGACCTTCGGTGATTTCCTACTGAAGATGATGGATTGTGGGTGTCCGGTTCAGTTCTAAAGGCAAGTTTTGGGTATCGGTGATTTCGTTGACCAGCTGCGTGCTCTTCACCTTCATCTCCTTTGGGTGTCTCTTAGGGTCAGATCGGGAGAGCTGAAGAATCAACCTCATCAAGGATTTGTTAGAGGAAATGGATGTGGATTGAACCCTGGTGATCTTGTAATCAATTTTGTTTGTAATAAATTTTGGGTTTTATGAGCTTTAATTGTGCAATATTATAACTTCATCGTTCTCTACTTTAACAATTCGAGCTACAAGGGAGTCGATCGGGTATCGCTGGGTCAAATTACATTGGGTTGAAGATCACATACCCGACTAATTGTTTTGGGTTGAATCAGTTCTAAAGCAAATCCATGGATGCTACTGAACCTGAATAGCTCACAACCTCACCCTTACCCACGATGTTGAAGATGTGGACTTCTAAAAAATAGTTGCTCCTATCTTCGATTGTACAATTGATCATCATCATCCTCTCACTGTAATTTCTATCTCAGATCCTCTAAAAGTGGAGGTCATAGAAATTAACACGATGGCAACAATTAGATCGGTTGCAGTGGTCTCGTAGATCGGTTCTCTAGGTGTTGAGCCACCACTTTCTCCCGTCTCATAGATGGTGATCGAAGATAAAGCAGAGAGAAAGAGGGTGGGATTTTTTGAGGCTTCCATGGTAGATCCGACAGGTGGTGGTGGTGGTGATCCTCTAACGGCGGTAGTCCGGTAGGTGGTGGTGTTCAGCAGGCGGCGGTGGCCGGGAAAGTAGTGGTCTCCGACAACAATGAAGAGAGAGAGAGAGAGAGAGAGAGAGAGAGAGATGTTGATCGGAGATGCGGAAGAGAGAAAGAGTATAGGTGGGTTAGTAGGAAGTAGGGTGGAGTGGGGTGGGTGTGATATATATATATATATATATATATATATATATATATATTGTTTTTCTTTTAATTAAAAGAGTAAGAAAATAATTTAAAAAATTAAAAAATAAGTAATGAAGGGCATAATCGTCATTTTAGGTAGGGTGTGACCAAAAGCACACAAAAATGCCAACCATATGGACCAAAACCACACAAGGTATCCGAAATTGGACCACCGGTGTATCACCAAACTTTTTTGGACCAAAATCACATAATTTTGCCAATCACAGGGACCATTTTTGCAATTTTGTCTTGAATCAATTTCATGTATTCCTTTTATTTCTTTGTCTCTACAGTACCAGTACCGACATACACATATAAACATGTCTATTTTTTTTTTTTTTTTTGGAGCAAGGATTCTGTTCTGGTACTAGCCTACATGGTACATAAGTGTGATTTATTGGGAAGTTTCAATCAAGTCATTATAAAGATGTAGGTCTCCCTAAATAATGGGGTTTACAGTTTAAATATAAAATTTGGTGAATAATTTATGATTATGTATCAAGAAAGGGAATTTGTTCTTCAACTATCACCTTACTCTGTTGCTCTTTACTTCTGATCACATTTATGGCAGTTTGCTCAGATTTAAAGAGAGAAAGAGGAGTACCAACGCCTGTAATAGAGTAGGCCATCATCTTTGAAGAGCTCTTTCTCTATTCAGATTTAGAGAGAGAAAGAGTGGACTAAGTCTGAAAGCTTCATCTAGGTGATCATCTTCTTCCTTGATGTTGCCAACCAATATTAACATTTGAAATCTATTCACATTTGAAATATATTCGTTATATGGTCTATATTTGTGAAAATTGGATCTACGTTTTTAACATGTTTAACTCGTCCAAATGACACGAAAAAAATGGTAAAATTTACCAAAAAATCCAAAATGGCCATATTTGATTAGATTCTAGAAAAAAAATAACAATGCTGTAAAACAAGGATCATCAATGTAATTTTCACTAACAAGGAATACCTTTGGATCTGTCTCAATCGTGTTGGAGGGTATTTTCCGCATATATATGTCATGGTCTGCTGCTGCTTCTGCTTTCAAATTTTATGCAAGTTAAGATTTGTTGCTGCTATCTTTAGTTGGTTCTTATAGATGCTTAGATGAAAATTCATGGCTCAAGTTAGAAAGACGTCAAGTTTTTACCATATTTTTTATAATTCGTTTCACACAAATAATATTTTTTTTTGTATGTTAAACTTTCTTATTTTTTTTCTTCTAAGAGTTGTTTTGAATGACTAATTATATAACTAGAACATAGTCCTTTTTTTTTTACAAAGATAATGTTTCTTTTGGTTTTTGCAGGTGGTTATATTATATGTGTTGATGCCATGTCTCATCTCCTAATCCCCAACAAGCTTCTTATCCCGCCCAAAATATGAAACTGAAATTTCGATTATGCCATTGTGCTATTTAAAAACTCGGTTGTTCATTCTTGGTTCTGTGCAATTAAACAATAGAAATAGTCATAATAATCCCACAAAATCAGGAAAAATAATTCTAATTATTGCAAAACTTACTCATATTTACCTGCCATTTAATTCGGATCCTTTTAAATTGGGTGTCTACTTCTCATTCCAAAACAAAAATATTCTTAATGTATGTTAGTGTATGTGTGTTGTGTGTGTTTCTATTGTAGTGTGTTTCAAACCATTTTCCATAAAAATATAAAATGGACAACAAACTTTGTATCATATGTAGAAATAGC